AAATGATGGAACTCATAACACCCTACTAGTGAGGGGTGTTGGTGGGGGGACATTAAGAGAGAGCGAGAAGTTTCCTTTCCCCTCACCCCCCCCTACCCCGACTCAGTTCCTTCAATCCCCCCCTCTATCCACGAAACTGCTCCTCCCACCGTAGCAACAGGACCCTCAATTCCTCCTTCCCCCCCCCTTTAAAGTATTTTTCCCAGGGTTACTCACTCATCGCGTTCCTTCGCTAATTCCTCCCGATTCCTCCGTTATCACCTCTTTCCATTCCTAATCCATCCTCCTCCTTCCATCCTTTACTCCCCCCCTCTCCGATTTTCCTTCCCGCACTTCCACTGTAATTGCTCATACCCATTCCCCATCGCAGTCTTATCCCCTCCATCCTTCCATTCCTCCTCCAACTCCTCCCCTCCCATCCTTAGCGCCCCGAGCTAGCTCCTCCCGTAACGATACCTAGCCTCCCCCGCTTGTCCCAGTTCTCCCAGTTTTAAAAGACCTAACACGTCGACCTTTCCTTCCCAGCTTCTGAGCCAACTCCCGTCCCTCCTCCTCCACGTAGGTACAGGCAAAAGTATACGAAATCCAATCGTGATTATCCCATCTCCCATCATTACAATCTCCCTCCAAGGTATTCCAATACTTTCCGTCCCCCCTCTGCTCCGTCCATTCCTTTGACCTTTAGAACTCCAACTTTCCAATACTCCTCCTTCTCCAATCCCACTCCATCCGTCCGGCTCCTTTTCCTCAATACTCCCGATCCACTAAAAATCATACTACAATCCTAACCAGATCCAATCCATCCTTTCCTACCCATCTACAGCCCTGTCAACCAACTCTCCCCTCCCCTCCAGTTCTTCCTCCTTTCCCACTCACGTCCATACGATTTAACGCATCCCACTCATTTGCACTTACTCCTTGGAAATATCCACACCCTCCAAATTCACTTTCCCCCATTCCCCCCGCACGTAGTCTTCCTGCGCAATGCTATCCCGCTCCGAGTCCTCTCCCCTTTAACTTCCACCACCGAAAATGATCCCACTTTCCCATTCCGTCACCGAGCATCCTCCCTTCCCGGGGACGTCCTACCACCAATTCCTTCGCAGGCATTTAATGCCACCATCCAAGATTCCATTTTAAATCCCCTAAGTACATCAACCTTGCAATGTGTTGGTCCATTCCATTTATCCCATAACTCCATCTATCCCGGACTTCCATTTCCCCCTCCCCCTCACCAATCATGATATCCTACTAGATCCAAATCCCTCTCTGCCCCCCCCTCCTTATAATGATCCCTTTCGATTCTCCTTAGCATTGTTCCCTCCATCTCCACCTTCCTCCTCCCGTGCTTACCATCTCGACCTTCACCACCGCCTAAGTCCTATCAAGCTCCCCTCCCGCCCCAACTAAATCGTACACACTTCCAGAACCCGGTCCACTCTCTACTCCCCCAAGGCATTAACCTACACCTCCTTACTTCCTAGACATCCATCCCATCTTCCCTCCCCCTCCCCTCCCTCTATCCTCGCCTCCATTCCTTCCACTCAACCTCCAATTCCTTCCGCACCTTCCTATGTCCCAAGATCCCTACACAGACCCCCGCTCCGCTTCCATCCTTTCCAGTAACCTCCTTCCACACCCACCAATTCACTTCCGCGTTACATCCCCTTCAAACCCCGTCCTCTTTATGCGCATATCCCAACTCCTCCTCTCCTTCTCGCTATGAGGCTTCCAACTCCTGAAATTCCCCTCCTCCAATTCCTCCCATCATCAACCAAAAAAAACTAATCCGCCTTCCCCAATTCCAAACTACTATTCCCCCCCCTAAGTCCACCCTTTCCTCTATTCCTCCCTCCCTATCCCAGGCGGACTCCATCCTCTTCCCTCATCCTATCTCATCCCATTACCCGTCTCTCCGCTCCTTTAAATTTTCCTTCCAATCATATCCGACCAATTCCAATCCGTCCTTTCGACCTGTCCAATAATTCGAGATTTTACATCCCCCGATCCCTATACACTTCCAACTCCAAGCTTCATTCCCCCCATCATTCGCCACGTCCTTCCTTCCAAAACAAGCCACGAAACTACTATCCATCTTAAACCACTCCACCTTATCCCCCCCCCCCATTGGTTAACGCCACCACAATCTAGCTCCCAGACCCCCGTTCCCTACTCACAACCAATCCAAAATTCCAAGATTCCTATCCACGTATCCAAATTCCACTCTTCCCCCCCCTCACCTTCTCCGTCCATGCCATTTCCCAGCCGACCTAATATCCCCATCCTCCAACCAAGGTCCTTTGATGGACATCTCCCCCCTCTGCGTGCTTCACAATCCCTGCCTCTCCCCCGCCAGACTCCCTTCCACCAGCCCAGCTCCATTTCACACGTCTTGTACCCCCACTGACCGAGCGAATCCATTATCCGGATCCGCCATTATCTCCACAGTATAATCCTTTCCGTAGAACAGCCTCCCCTCCCATCCACATCCGTCCCCCACCGATATCCATCCTCCTCCAACGTGATTAAGCTTTCCTAACGATTCCCCCCACCTTCCGGTTACAGCCAAACCGTTCACCCTTATTAAAGCCTTAACTACCCATTCCCCTCCTTGAGTTCCGATTTCCCGCCATGACACCCAGAGTAACCTCCGTTCCTATTCACTCCATATACATTCCTCTAGGACGCTGAAAATCCCCTCATCCTCCACAATATCCACCCTCCCGCGGCTTCCATCATCCTTTTCCCATCCTTGGCCTACCAGATCCCTACCAATTCGCTCATACTCCCCCCTCCCACGATATCCCGTCCAAAAAAAACCTCCGCCAACCACAGATCACGCGCACTATCCTTTCTTGTTGTTATCTCCAGCCTGTTCCCTACACCGATGTTCCTCCAACCGTCCTAAACCCCATTTAAAAATCCCGACTGGTTATCCAATGTGAGTCAACCCTTCCCTCATATCACCTGTATCCTCCTCACCTCTTCCATCCACAATCCTCCCGAGATATATCCTCCCACTCCTTTTCCTTACACTTCCACACACCTTTCTCCCGCCACACCTGATCCCTCCAACTCCTCCATTCTATAATTTCCGTCATTAAGTATTTTTTCGTCCTAAATATAACTCCTCGCTTTCCCCTTATACCTCCCACGTTCCATACCCTCTGTATCCTGTGTCCCTCCTTCCCAAGTCTGATATCATTATCCTTCAACAAGCACTTCCAGGTCAAAGGTGCCTTCTCCCGCACCCCCCTCCCCTATCCCTCCCTCTTCGTGTCCCCCTGATGTTTAATGTTTCCATATTCCCTCATTCCGTAACCCCTCTATGTCATCCCTATCTCCAGGTCTTCCCCCACGGGGGGGGGTCCCCCTCCACATCATTACAATCCTTAACCTCCTCCCTCATATCGCATATCCCCCCTCCGATCCACCTCCCAAGCCACTCCACTCTCCCCGCATCCTCCAATTCCTCCTTCCCCCGCCCTCCAACTCCCATCCCTATTTTCCTCCCTTACCGCCCCCAATCCCTATGATCTCCTCCTCCATTCCGCGCATCCCTGTCCGTTCCACTCCTAAAGCACATCCTCCCTATGCTCCCTCCCGACACAACCCTGCTCCACTCCCCTGATTCCCGGAATCCAATCCCCGCATCACTAAACCCTAAAAATCCCCTCTCCTTGCCATCCCTTAACTAAGTAATTAGCATCCTTCCTCCTCCTTAGACGCCCAATTCCACCCAGTAACCCACCCCCAGGATATCCTATCCCTCCAATAACACATACTTTATCCGACTATTCTCCCCCACCCTATTACCAACGTCCATCCAACCCTCCTCAACCGCGATCAGTCTTCCTCGCCATCACATACTATTTAATATAACATAACTCCTCCCACATGTGGATTCCCCGATAGGTTCCGGCCTTTCCTCGGTTCCTACTCCCCCCCTCCCCCAATTCCTCCCCCTAGCCCACATACTTCCCATACCCTACCATCCCTCCTTCCTCCGTCCCCTACTGGATCTCTCCCATTCCATCCACCCTCTCCCTTGTGCTGTTCCTTTCGGAAGAGTCGTGTATTCCAACTCCCTTTCCCCACTCTGTCCACTTCACGAATTCCGTTTAATTGCCTCGACATTCCCCCTATCCTGTAATCCTTCCTGGCATCCCCCAAGTCCATCCCCTTCCGACTTTTGACCTCCGCCGGCTAATTCCAATCCAACCCATCGACACGCCCAAGAAATGGCTCCAACCGATCATGAATTCCTGGTCCTTACCCGCTTCCTCAATGTCCCCTCCACCAGCCCATCCTCCTCCTATCCTTACGAGTCCCCTTCCACCTCCATCCTCCCAGTCCAATCCTAAACCACTGAACTCCTGAATCTTCCCGACCAATCCAGTAATCTTGTCCCCGTCCGTTACCTCCAAGCCACGAATCTAGCATCTTACCCCAATCGTTGAATTCCTACGATCCTTTAGCCGAGTCCGACTCCATCCCCAACACCTTCACCCCTCCATTCCGCGCCCTACACTCCATCCTTCCCCTTCCCCCCTCTTTTGCAAATCCAGCACTTTCCCCTCCCTAAATTCCCACACGCTTTCGGCATTCCACCCGAAACTCCTCCGTTTCCGCACCCTCATTCATCTTCTCTCCCCTCCATCGCTCTCCTCGCAGCAAACTACTCAAACCTCCAACCAATCCCCACACGCTATATTACCCGACCTCATCTCCTCAAGCGCCCTCCACTTTGCTATCCTCCCTATCTTTCCCCCCCTTTTTTCAAATAACCATTCCTTCCATGTTCCAAACTTGAATTCCTCCTCCCAATAAGCCAATACATTCTTTCCCATAAAACTATCCTCCTCAGCCTCTCAGTCCTCATCCGCGTCTGCCTTCCCTATATTTAATCCAGTTCGAGCCTATAAACGCTGTTCCTCCCTGTCCATATTCCTCGACAAGGTATCCATACCCCCGTCCTAATGATCCCCCTATTCCTCAATTATATCCACCTCCCCACGCTTTGTACATTTCCAAAATACTTCCTCCTCCTATCCTTCACATCCATTCAGATCCATTTACAAAATCCTAAAATCCCTCCTTTCCACCTCAACATTACCATCTTCACACTCCCTACAAGCCCACTATTCCTCCCCCCACCAACTATCATACTACTTCCCAACCTTTCCTCCCCATCCTCCAGTTTCCTCCCTCCAATCGATCCCTCCACCTTCGACTCCCCTCATGTCCCATCCCCCTTTCCTATTCAAACCCATAACATAACACAATTTTCCATCCTAGACTTCCCTGCTCCATTATTAAGAAACTCTTTAACCTCACTCCTAAATCCTTCCAGCACTACGCAATACAAATACAGCGTCCTTGTGTTTGCCTGTGAAGGAGTGTGGACTGGCTCCGTTGATGAAACGTGGCTCCCATCCACATGCCTCCCGGTCTTATTCCTTCGAGTTTACACTGGATATGCGTGGGATATGTGGATGGAGCTGTGGGTGGTGCAGCACAAGCCATCCATGGTCCCTCTGTAGGCGCAGGCGTCCTGCGGCTTGCCGCAGTGACAGGCAAATCCGAAACCGGATGCCGCCAGTCATATATGCACATTTAAGCCATATAGTCCCTACCATCAATGGGTTTTTTGAGTCAAACACTTTTATTACTCCCCAGGGAGCCTATGACATCTTGCCTCGCATGGGTTCATCTATTACTTTGAAACTCTCAATCCCTTACCTCAGGAGATTGACCCAATCGTGGTCAACAATGGATAAAGAATATGGAATATGAGGAGGTAGAAAGGTAATTATGATAAATAAGAAATTGTCCTATTTAAATACCGCCAAGAAAGGCCGACTGATTTCCCGATGAAATTGTGCCATGGGATCGCCGTAATAATTGGCTGCTCAAATTATCCATATGAGAGGCAGTTCTGAACGAAAGCTTCAGGTTTATTCAACAGTTTCATGCGTTCTCAAAATACAGTATTTGGTATCGCGGAACACTGAGAATTGCTTCTGGCTGTTGCTCTCGATAAAGTAGAAATATTTAATATTACAGGACGAAGGTAAAGAGAAAAGTAAACGAAGAAAAACAGTTTATATCTCGACGGTGTGAGATACGGATTGCGGTTGATCTGATCGAATTTTATAGCTAGATGGTTGAAAACAATTTCTGTTCAAGTTGTCACAAGATAAGAGGTTCCGGATCGATGCATCACTAGTAGCCGTAGTGTGTAGGAATCGGCATTGACGGATGTCATGAAGCCTTCTGTAGTGTTGTGCCGATACATCCGGACAACAAAGGGAATTGGCTAGAAATACGAAAAATGATTCGTTCATAAATAAATAAATGTCAAGATAGGCGCATACCAAAAAAGAATTCGTCAAAAGTTATTAGCTGTTACGATGGATAAGCCAAGCGGAGGGGAGTAAGTGGCTTTGCTAAAATACAAACAAAATTGCCAGTTCAGACCCTCGGTAATACAGACAGGGTCATGTACAACAGAGCCATCGAGAAGCGTGGTAAGAGTTGTTTCATTCGTCGTAGGGTTTCGACGTTTTAATAGATCAGCCAACTTTAGCTCTTTGATATTACCCGAAGTGTATGCGTTTCCTCCGCCACTTGCCTTGACTAGCGAAGGGCATAGTACTTGGTTAAGTTGTTACTGTTGTAGAACCAGTGAAAAATCGTTCATCCGTCTGTACATTTTGCAGAGGATTTCCATCTTTTTGGTGATTCTCCATGGTAAGCTGTCAGCATATTCTCGATTATAGGACATTTACGCTTAAGCGGTGAGACCACGTCAAGACAAGTTCTGGTGTTGCTGTGGGACTCTTTTGCGGCGCTTTGTGGGTCAGCAGTTAAGAAGAAACTGTCCCATGAGACGATCCATTGGAATAAGCAAATAATCCGATCAGTGAATGCGTACTCACGGAACCATGTTACGGGTTTGTAAATGTTAACGAGAGTTGGCGGCGGTGAACTAAACAGAAGCACGATCAGCCCATGGTCGCTGCCAAGAAACGTGCTTAGTACATTAGCGGGCTTTTTAGGTGCATCTTGCCTGAAGAGGAGATCAAGAATGTGATCCTCTCGAGTTGACGACCGTACGTGCTCTGAATTCAGCCATGGGAATGGACGGAGGTAACAAACTTACCGTAATTTGTAGATGAGGTAGGTGTGCCCCAAGGAATATTCGACATGTGGAAATCGCCACCTAAGTTTGTGGTCCGCAGGATGCTCCCAAGCTCAGTGAAATACATTTAGTAAATTGTTTACAACGGCTGTATCAGAGTTTGGTGGGATGTAGACGCTGCCGATAAAAACTCGTTGATTTATACGAGTAGAAGCGAAGACCGAATCGTTCTGACTGCTCAGATAGGGGCCTGTGAGTGGGCAAGCATAGGTATCATTTCTGGTGTATATAAGGCATCCGCCACCATGATTAGCGGCTCGAAAGCTACTGCAGTTGTTATATCCTGCGATCTGGTAGGCAGCATACGTATTTTCTTTTAACCATGTCTCATTGACCAAGATAATGTGCGAGGGGAAAAGTGAGGTAATCGTTCGAAGGCTTTCAATTTTATTCAGGAGTGAACGAGCATTTAGAAGTATTGCGTGTTGTGTTTGCGACTTCCCTAAATCTGGAGGGCCGTTGCCATGTCAGCCTCCAGCTCAAGGTTAGGGTTTACAATGCCACCGCCCATGCTATCCTGCTGTACGGCTTGTTCAGTCGGGTGATTTAAAAAAACCGTCCGCCTTCGACAACCGTTGCTTGTGAACGATTGTCCGTGTAGAGTAGCAGCACCATGTAAGCAATACGGGACTCAAAGTCCGTGTACCGTATATTACTGAATGTAAGCCCGTCCATAGATAGTCCCACAGTATAACTCTTAACTAACAGTCATTGTCTCCTGGAGCATTATTCTCCAACACCGTTTGCGTTAGATCGAGTGCATACTGCGCATGCCAATTCCTCGCCTGGTCGCGCATTATTTGCGCTTTCTGGAAGCAATTGGAAAACCTGTCGCGACGAGCAACCGATGGCGTGGAAGAAATGTGTAAAAATTATTATCCAGGGTCAGTTGGATCTGTTCATCTCCCAAGTTGGGTGTCGCGTGGCGCGGATTCGCAATAGGAATGATTGGCCCCATTGCCACTACAATGCTTCTTTTACATCTGATGCGAAGTTTTAAACACAATGGCGTGTGTGAGGCATCGAAAAAGAGCCGCTCTTTTGTTATATTGTTTCCTTCTATTCAGTGTGCATAATTTCCCTCTCCCAGTGCCATCATGGTTCTGATTCCCATTCGCCTGTTTTTGAACTGATGAATGCACAACTTACATTCCTCTTCATTCCGTCTCTCGTATGGTGTGTATGGGTTGTGAAGTTAGACTGCTGTGTGTATCTAATCTCGTCCTACCGAGGAACACATGTTCTAGTCGCCCCACGAGCTGTGTACGCAATGCGCTATCGGACTTGCAACATTTGAACAATACAGCCACTTCGTTATCTGTAGAGGAATACTTTCCAGATTGTGTTGCAAAGTCAATTGAGCTATATGATACCATGTCTCCAGCTATTTCCTTGTCTCATGAATCAACTTAAAATGTCATAGACCT